CTAGTGGACTGTCTCTTGTCGGCTGTCCGCGACTAACTTAACATATACGCAGCTACCCTCCATAACTGTAGGCCATATCCTCAATTCGCAGTCTGTGAACGCGTGGTGCAGTGGATGAATCGCCCTGATGATGGAGGCAGTATGACCTCTGAAACGTTGATTAACATCGACCAGACTACACAGCGCAACAACCCAGAAGACAGAAATCTTCAATATGACTTTCATTAGTATTCTGTAGGCATATGGTCGTATTTATTTGTAAGTAAGTAACTCAAACTACGGATATTAAATTCGGCTGATGTGTGACGCTGTACGCAAAAAGTAAAAAGTACCTATGTCTTACTTCGAATTAAAGTATTTTCCCACAATCATTACACATTCTTCATAACATATAACGTAGCTGCTCTCTGCTCAAGGAGACAATTTTATTTCAGTCGCAGGACAGATATTTGTGCGTTAAATGTACGTTTTATTTCTGTCTGCCGAAGACAAATGGATACATCTTTTGAAAATGCATCGTTGGGTATCATCCTCAAGTTCTTATTTTTGATAATGTATCAGACTCCTTGCAAGATATTTCATTTCTATATTTCGTACGCAATATTCTTTCGGCTTAATTACGCTCGTGATTGCAGCCATTTTTAATATCGCTATCGAAAAAAAAACTGGAATGACTTTCGATGACATTACCTTCATAGGAAAGGTCCCTAAGATCACTAGCATTTATACGCCTGCAGACAATTTCATATAGACAAAGATAAAAAGTACAGAATTCTTCAGAAACGTTTTCACATTCCAGAAACCCGTTTAAGTTTATACAATTACACTGAATTCTAAATAAAAAAATATTTCACAATAAGGGCTGGAAAACAAACGAAAATAAATAACTGCGGTTTCATGGAAACTATGCGGAGACAAGACGCTCGTTTCGGCTGGCTGCTTAGCTGCAATGAAGCCCACTTCAAACGACAAATGTCGTGGGTCCGGGAAAACCATCTCCACGTCATCCAAACTACTTGCGTATTTGTGTTTTGTACGAGACTTCCCCCAGTTTCAAACACCCACTCCCCACTTCACACAATGCTGTGTAACCACTTTTATTACCATAGGAGTGACGAGACATGAGTCATGCTGTGTAACCACTTTTATTACCATAAGAGTGACGAGACATGAGTGCTTCTGTGAACAGCAGTTAGTTATATGCTTGTAAAATGTTTCTAATGGCTCCTTGCATTAAACTTTAGCTACATAGTGCCAGCAATATATTATTAATGTGCTTATCTGGCTAGATGATAACAAACAAGTTGTTTCTTCCAAAATTCTTTTAACTAGTGTAATATTTTGTGAAATTGACATTTCTTCTTCCCCATCGCACATGTTTATTTCTTTTCTATTTGTAATATACAAACGTCAACTTTCTTTCTTAAGAGAGCTGCTTATTTTCATAATAGCCCCATTTCTTGTCACTTCAAGAGAAATCGCTCTTAAATTACTGTGACCTACATATTCAAAGATTGGTCAATTTACGCCTAAGCAGATGGCTGAATTTAGAATAATTCCAGTGACATAATAGAAAATATATATACATCTACGCACTACTTCCAGCAAATCGACGTCCGGAAACCGGTTTCGGCAAACACGGCACGCGAGCAGCCGCTCAAATCCCACGTCAAAAATATTCAAAAGAAACCTTAATGAAGAGCGAGCCGACGCCATGGCTTAGGACTGACGGAACAAAAGCTCAGCTCTCGATTTGAGAGATGTTATTCGTCATGTGTTGTCACGTGTCATTTGAAAGAGAAATGGGCTTGGAGACTGGAATGTCTGGCTGTGCGTAAATTAAAAATTGTGATATATGAGGTTCTCACGGCGTCGAGAGTGAAGGTGGCTGTCTTCTGGATCGTTCAGTCATGTAGTCTGGTAGAAGTTTACCGACGTATCAATAAAATTTCGGGGAACAAACCAGTTTTAAGACAGGAATTACTGTAGCAATTGGGTGAAAGAAGCTAGCTGCTTAATGAGGACCAAATCAAAGGTGACTGCATAGCTGGTATTTTATAAGAACTAATTATCCCTACACAGTATCCTAAAATTTTCATAAATTCTTGATAGTGAAGAGGAGTGGCGCTAGGACTAACGTGAAAATGGGAATGAAATAAGGACGAAAGAAGACTCACTCATCGCTCTGATAATGGAGGCAGCAACGACCTCTGAAACGTCGGTAAACTTCTACCAGGCTGCAGGGCGCTACAACCTAGAAGACAATCATCTTCCCCCTTGAAATATATTAACATTCTTCCCTCAATGTAAATCTTTGCAGTGCGAATCAGAAGCAACTAACAAGTGTAATGAAACTGATAGGTAAAATAGGAAACCTGTAGGCGATGTAAATGCCACGACTACAGGTTATCAAACACGTCCAAATACTAAACAGTGTTTATTGTGTGTTTATTCGAACATTGATTGATAAGATACTAAAGTTTGCATACAGGTGAAAAATAAACAGGCAATGAAGACGTTTCATCTACAGCGTTCTTTAAAATAATGCTACTGTTATATGAATCAGTAAACTTCCGTGTTATTTACGTTTGAAACACTGGCATTGGTCGGCAAGCTTTGCATATTTATTCTGGGTGCGCGAAGTACTTTGTGAATTGCATGAGAGCGAGATCTTTGTTCTCTTATGACAAGGGCTTTCTCCTCAGGCATCACGACATGAAAACAAGACAGGTGTTCTCAAAGCTCTCTTCTGTTCGTGTGCATTTGAAATAAGGAATCCAGTCGTGTACGTAACTTCCATTGTCGGAAACTGTTTGGGTGTCTTCAAAAACACGCGTGCTGATGCTTCGTTGTTATTTCGAGAGCACAACTCAAGTAGGAAGGGATACAAAACTGTTGTAGAAGAGCCGAAAGAGTGCCGATTATGACTTTCTTATAAACTCACACTGGCACATACATTTCTATGCAGTAATCACGTTGTGATCTTTTTCACCCATTCGAGGAATATTTCAGGCAGTTGGACGCATAGTCAAAAAACTGGACGACTGTGATATAAAAAACAACATTTTCATACCATATCATACTAATAAATTTAGAGGTACTTGGTTTATTCTATAAATTAAAATTTTATTGATTTGTTTTAAAGAACAACTTCCCTTTTCTTTAGCGAGCATACATAAATTGTAAGCTGTGTTAAGTCAAAGATGGCCAAACGCTGACTTCGTACCGCGGAGGCCGAATTCAATACCAGGTTACTTCCAGGTTAGTGCCACTGTCGCAGGCTTTTCTCCGAGTTCCTTAGGTTTCCTCTGGTAATCATTATTTATGCACCAATACCCCACGAGGTGTGCGATAGATCTGACCAAGGAACACATTTTCTTGTCCTCGGTTGTAAGGTAGTATCCCCTTATCTAGCCCGGCATTTCGCTGATTTACGTAGGCAGTTTAGTTACTATTTTAAAAATGTCTGATTCTAATATTTTAATTATTTTGTGAAAATTACGAAAGAAGGCTAGTGATCTAAGAAGAAATCTCAATAATATATCAACTATGGAAAAAGGAAAAACAAAAGACACATCCAGTTAGTTTAAATATCACACGTAAGCCTCTTACCCTACTTTCTACGTATATCTCTAAGTGATGCAGGATTTTTCTCCGTAAAGAATAACCTTCTGCCAGTGCTAAGTGCTTGTGTTCTCCCTATTCACCGAACTGCAAATGAAGGGAAACTTGCTGTCAATTTCAAAATAATTAACACAATGCTGTCTAAACGCAACGTGATCTTCCCGGATACACAAAGAAACAAAGACATTTTCCTCCTTCTGCAAAAATAACTTCAAACGTGGTTCCAAGTCGAGGATTCTTTAGCAACTGTCAGGAAACTGCTATATTAAATATTTGTAAGAGTATGAAGCCCTGAATATCACCCTAATTAATAACACTGAGCA